CAAGCAGTAAAAATATTAATAGCAGCCTCTATATAAACTTTTTTTGTTTTTTTAAAGATGGAGTTCTTGATATGTTTTCCAGGCTGGCCTCAAACTTGTGGGCTCAAGTGATCCTCCCTCCTCAGCCTTCCAATGCGCCACCATGCCCAGCTAATTTTTTCCACATATTTTTAGTTGTCTGGCTAATTTCTCTCTATTTTTTTTTTTTTTTAGTAGAGACAGGGTCTCACTCTTGCTCAGGCTGGTCTCAAACTCCTGACCTCAAGCGATCCTCCCGCCTCGGCCTCCCAGAATGCTAGGACTACAGGCGTGAGCCACCGCACCTGGCCTATCATAGTTTTTAATACAAATTTCTTTCCACAGAACATATTGAGGATTGTGACCCCGTGATCATCTACACCTGCCATCTATTCCCTCTAGCATCTTTGAAATATGTAGCACCAAAACAACCAGGAGGTTTGAGAAGCAAATCCTTAGTAAATGTAATTATTAATATTAACCATGGCATACACATGGTAATGGTGTACACATTGCATGAGAGATGAATGCGGGACCCTCAAAGCACGGCATTGGGCCCAACTCTGGGTGTTGTATCAATGGAGGTAGGGGAGCAAAAAAATTTCTCCACCCATTTTCCTGAACCATAACCTTAGGAAAGAAATGTTCTTGTCTACCACAAGCTTGGCTACGTCTTTGCAGTGTTGTTGTGTACAGACTGTGGGGAATCAGGTCACAGGAGAAGGCTGTCCTCTGAGAAAACCTCACTGTCCTCATTTCCAGGAACAGCTATGGAGAACTGAACAGCTAATCTCACTGTCAGGAGGGCGGGAAGCCAAAGGGAGCCTCAGGTCACCAAGTACCAGGGCACTCAGGTTTTAAAGTAGCTGCATTCACTTCGTGGGCCATTCGAAGAAATCTGTATGGAACTTGAGGTTCAATTTCCCTTTTTTCCTTTTTTTTTTCTGAGACAGAGCCTTGCTCTGTTGCCCGGGCTAGAGTGCAGTGACCTCATCATAGCTCACAGCAACCTCAAACTCCTGAGCTCAAGCGATCCTCCTGCCTCAGCCTCCCAGGTAGCTGGGACTACAGGAGCACGTGAGCCACCACACCTGGCTAAGTTTTCTATTTTTATTAAATAACAGAGACGGGATCTTGCTTTTGCTCAGGCTTCTCTCGGACTCCTGGCCTCAGAGATCCTTCCGCTTCAATCAATCCTCTTGCCTCCACCTCCCAGAATGCTAGGATTACAGTCCTGAGCCAACACGCCCCTACAGAACTTGAAAACAAGTTGTAATCGAACCTGAGCCAACAGAAGCAAGGGTCTCCCAGACATTTTTGCTCATTCCCTTTGTTTTTGTTTTCCAGGGCTGCTTTCTCAGCTTAAATTTTCCCCTTCCAAGTCATTCACTCCTTGAATGGTTTAATTCTCCTCTGGGTATAACCATTATGCACAATAGACACACAGAAATACACGTTCCTTAGTATACCTGCTGGTTTCCTCTTGGGTGACAGACCCACCCCCTCGCCACATGACTGACACACATCCAGCCACTTGGCCCTCATTCTCCCATTGCCCCTCTTTTGCTTCATGACTTTACCATTCACTCAGCCGTTGACACTAGAAATCTGTTATCTTTCCTCCTTTTCTCCACTGCACACTCCTCCCCCAAACACAACATTCAATGAAGCGTCAAGTCTGGCCATTTCTGCTTGTGGAATGTTTCTGGAATCCTGGAACTTTGCAAGAAACTTTTAGCTTGTCTCAGACCTAAGTCTCTCTGTTTCCAATTCATCCTCCACATAGTCATCAATTATTCTTGCAGAACAAAATTCTGGTCTTACCTCTCTGCTGCTTAACCTCCAACAGTTTACCCATGGTTTGGATAATGCTTCAATTCCTTAGCAATATGTACAATTCCTCTATGGTCCTGCATTCCCGATTAAAATTCACCTTTCTGCTCACCTACTCTCTCAGTTTTCTGCTTTCTGCCATATGACAGCCAGCTCCTAAATTTCATACGGAATCAAGAAAGAGTCTGAATAGCCAAAGCAATCCTAAGTAAAAAGAACAAATTTGGAGGCATCAGATTACCCGACTTCAAATTATGCTACAAGGCCATAGTAACCAAAACAGTATGGTACTGGGATAAAACCAGACACATAGATCAATGAACAGAATAGAGAATCCAGAAATAAAACTACATCCCTACAACCAACTGATCTTTGACAAAGCAGACAACAACATACACTGGGGAAAGGATGCCCTGTTCAATAAACAGTGCTTAGAAAATTGGATAGCCTCATGCAGACAAACGAAACTGGATACATACCCCTCACCATATACAAAAATTAAGTCAAGGTGGATTAAAGACTTAAATGTAAGACCTGAAACTGTACAAATTCTAGAAGAAAACATGGGGAAAACTCTTCTGGACATTGGCCTAGGCAAAGAATTTATGACTAAGACCCCAAAAGCAAATACCACAAAAACAAAAATAAATAAATG